ATAAGGGGATCAGCTTGTACAGGCTCATTGACCCAGTTTGACTCAGATGTGCCCTTATGAACTGAATGCTGGCCCATGAGGGTGTCAGCTGGACACTTAGCTGGATTCAGAGGGATTCTATTTACCTGTGTGCTTGTGTCTGACTGCAGTTTACTGTTGCTCTGATGAACAGATTCTTGGCATATGAGGGTGTCACCCTGTCCATGCTGATCTACCCGGCCAGGTAAGGCACGTCATGTTAATCTGTGGGTGTATGACTGATTTGGTGACTGGAGGAACCCAGCCCCATTGAAACTGACTCCTGCAAGATAGCTCCATTGGGGGGATGAGTACTTGCACAAGGGAGATATACAGCTCCATATAGAAACACAAGTAACACAAGCAGCACATTGATAGAATTACCAAGACCCTAGAAATGTGTCCCTAATAAATGAGTGCACCCCAAAGTAAGGGGCAAAGCTGGTAACACCTGTTCTAACTGCCCCTTCTGGGTTCTTTTGCCCCTCTCTCAAACTCCCTGCCCTCTCCAAAGGTTTGCTGATTTGTGTTAATTGGGAAGAGAGACCTGGGCACTGTTCAACAAGTTTTATTTATTAAACACAGGGAAAGCTTAGCAGCTACAACATTTTATTAAAAACTAAGGCACGTCTCTTCCTCGCTCCGCATTCCTCTGTGCTCTGGTGTGTGCCCCTGGAGGGGCAGAGGAGGAAGGGAAAGGTGAACAGTACCCAGGCAGCCTGGGTTGTGGGCAGTGCTGCCCAGAATGCAGGGCCAGAGGAGCCTGGGACAGGAGACCCAGAGTCCAGTGCCAAGGCACAGGCATTCAAAGGCCTCCAGCCTCTGGCTCTACTCATCCAGGGAAGGCTCCTGGTCCTCCAGGGTAAGAATGTAGTTGGCCAGGGCTTCATGGATCCAGACTGCCTGCTGCTGTGTGTGGATGGAGTCCCCAAGATCAGCAGGGGGGCTTGCCATCTCCCCCCATCCCTATGCTGTCATGCCCATTCTGCACACCAAGCCTTCTTGGCCCAGCCTTCATGGAAGATCTATCCCCTGGTCTTGCAGATGTTGTGGAGGACACATGCAATGAGTCATATCACGTTCTCCTCATTCACCTCTAGGTGTGCACTAAGACTCCACCAGCATGTCTTGAGGTGGCTGAAGAAGCACTCCACCATCATGCAGGGCTTGTTCAGGCAGCAGTTGAAGTTCTCCTTCTGGCGGTCCAGCTGTCCTACATACGGTTCCATCAGCCAGGACATGAGGTGGTAAGCCGAGTCCCTGACGATGATGGTGAGATCATGATATTGTCAATGATGAAATCAGGGACCCCAGGAGCATAGCACCCACTCTCCATCAGCCTAGGGAGCAGGGAGCTGTGGAAAATGTAGACACCATGGGCATTCCCTGCTCAGCCAGCAAAGATTTGAGTGAAGTAGCCCTGGTGGTCGACAATGCCATGCAGGATGACAAAGAAGTAGCCCTTGCAACTGACTAACACCTGGGCACCTTGAGCCAGGCAGAGGATGGGGATGTGGGTGCCATCCACAGCCCCCCACGCAGTTGGGAAAGCCCACTGACAGAAACTGGCAACCACCTCCTGTGGGTTGATGAGGCAGATGAAGCAGCTGATCAAGATATCCTAGATGACCAGGTACACCTCCTGAATGGCCTCTGTAACCATAGTCTTGCCCATGCCAAACTGGCTGGTGATGTGGCAATAACTGCTGGGGGGGCAGGGGGCCAGCTTCATGGCAGCAATGACCACCCAATTCCCTGAAGTGATAGACTGCCACATGCCAATGTCTTGGTGCGTGTTGTGGGATCCACCTGGACAATGATATCCATGAAGGTGACCTAGCACATGTGGAAGGTTTTGACCCACTGTCCAGTATCCCAGGTGCCCAGGACAATCTGTTTCCATAAATTGCTGCTGGTAGTGCAGGCCCAGTACTGGCAATTTATGGTCTGGAGGTGGTGCCATAGCACGCCAGCAACCATGGCAATTTGGGTGACCTTGTCCTTATATGCCACGTGAAAGTCAGTGGCCTAGTCCAGGACACTTCTTGGGCACAGTGTATAGTAAGTGGCCCTGACTGGGACAGCTGGCTGCTGGCTTACAGGCATGAAGGTGCATGCCATGGTGACCCACTGCTATATCAGGTCCAAGTGGGTATGTGTAATGTGCTACAGACTCTGATGAGAGTCATGCAGAGTGACCAGCAGGACATACCGTAACTCCTGAGTCTCCTTGCTTAGGTGCAGGAGGCAGGATGCGAAATTGCTCTCAACCTGCTGGCCTTGGCCAATGCAGACAGGCTACGTGCCCACTCCCACTGAAGGGTGAACATCTGTTCTGTTCATTCCCTGTCTAACCTAGGGTGTTTAGAATAGAGTGCAAAACTTAAATTGGTTCCACCTTGGGCTTTTTGAACTTCTATAACTTAGCCTGAGTCAGTCTGCCTCATACACTGCATTAGACTATAAAGTATCTAAAAGTGGGAAGAAGCAAACATAGATACAATAATAAAAAGATTTCTAAGAATTCCCATTCCATTATGACCGCTAATTACAATCATTGCACACATTAATCAATAAACTTCATTTTATACAATAAATCAGATGACTTAGGATATAAGGATTATATTAATATATTACCTTTATATTATGTAAAAGGAAAAAGGAATACTCATACCTGTCTGCAATTCAATTGGACCTACAAGAATAGTAGGTTTTAAATCCTCAATCTCTTGCTCAAAAGTAGCATAATGAAGAATTTCAGCTCTGATTTCAGTCAGAGAAGGATTGCTAGCCAGAAATTCCTGCATGAAATTAGAACTATTATTAAACAGTATTTCTACTTCATTGGTAAAATGGCAATGGTTGGTTATAAGTATATTAAGGTATAAGTGTATAACACAATACAACTCAATATAATTTAATTATAACACTTATAAACTTAATATACATTTTTTATGTAAATGTGGAAGGCCAAATGTTGGGAACCACACAAAACAGATGAGCTACTTCAAATACATACATAGTTGCATGAACACATAGCCTACAATTATACAGGAACACTGAGCAATCCCATGTATGAATATCAATATGTGCATGCAAACAGAGTATTTCCCCATGTAATGTCACTCATTGCACAGGCCTTTGAAAATTTGGCCCTCAAACTATCAAAACAACTATATCTTAACTACTGTTCTACTGTGCACATTTATGATCTGATATTTCTTTTCTTGTCTGAGATTGGCTTTGTTTTCTTCCTCAACTAATAGTCAATACACATGACATTTGTGTGTCAGTTTTTTTAAATAAGATGTATAAAAGTGGCAATGAGCAGAAGGGCATATTAAGAATACGAGTTGGGCAAAAAGTTAATGAATTCTAGGATAACAGGGACAGACAACTCAGGACTGACTACAAAAAAGGCCCAACTGTTTTCTGAAAGAAACCCACACTCCTTTAACTGTATTTCCTGGTAATACTCCTCCTCAGTCTACTCTAGGAAAGTGCCTAATCTTAAGTATAATTCATACCTTAAAATTTAAAAATATAAGAGTTAATTTTCTGGGGCATACATACAAAATCTGCTTTCCTTCAAAAAGGATATTCATGTAACTGCCTTTCTGCTTCTCCTTGGCTTCACTTTCCAAATCGGAATACTTAAGCATGAGTGACCAAAGTGCTGCTTAGTGAAAAAGAAATTGCTCACTCATAATAATAATAATAATAATAATAAAAAAAAAAAAAGTGTTGTCTTTGTATAGCTACAACTGTGAAATGTGTCCCTGGATGGCCTCCTCCTGGGACCCAATATCCAGAGTCAAAATTATTTAAAAGAAGAGCTGCTCTCCACACGTTAGTTATTTCTTTTGAGCCTGAAAGCACAAACTTAACTTGGAACTCCGAGCAATTAGGGGAATGAGTGGATAATATAAATATTCAGACACACTGGTCTCAAAGAATTTCAATTATAGGCAACGGACCTCTATAGCAGCATCAACACAGTCCTGTTATTGTGAGGGCATAATTAATAGTACAAACAACTAGAAATGTGAATTGACGAGTCTTGTTCTACACTGCAGAATGCGCCTCATTAAAAAAAAAAAAAAAAGCCTTCTGCAATGATTCTCAGGGGCACCTCTGGCCACAATTTTCAACTATATTGACCAATGTGAAGCTGGTCAGAAATCTGCCTTGCTCCCCCTTAAAATCTCATTTTGTTTTAGAAAAGCTTCTCTTTTTTTTTTTGGTCCTGCCAGGTCACATATGTAAGCAGACATGACTTGGCACAGACAGAAGTGTGGACCACCAATCCAAGGCCCCTGCTTCGAGCAAGCCGGAAATGCCAGATTCCCTTAGCCTCAGGGGAGAGGATATTATGTAAGCCCAACTACATGGGAACCAAAGAAACAGACATTTACAAGGAAACAGAGAACAAGCAAGCAAGCGATTGATAGCGGGATGGGAAGCCATGCATATCTAACGTTTGCATTCTATTTGACTTAATTAACTCGTGGAATACCAGCAGAAATGGAGACAGCCATTAGCAATCAGGGTACAGTGCATCCCAGCACAGAACAGTGGGTTGTTAAACACTAAAAGTCATCTAATTCAGGTGGACACACCTAGGGAGAGTAGGTTGGCTGAAGCTTGAAGAACCAGTCGCTCTTACTTCTCTGAAGTGGATTGGGATTGAAGGGAGAAGAGACTGATGTCATATATTTGGACTTTAAAAAAAGCCTTTGATCTGGTGTCCCACAACCTCCTCATGGAAAAATTGGCCAACTGTGGCTACACCACAGTCCAATGGCTAGGAAACGGGCTCCGAGGTCAGACCCATAGAATAGTGGTCGATGGTCATGGGGCGCCATGTTGATTTGCTACCAGTGGCATCCCCCAAGGCTCTGCCCTGGGACTGGCTCTCTTTAATATCTTTATCAATGATGTGGACATTGGTGTCAGAAGCGCACTGGCTAAGTTCGCCGATGACACTAAACCCGAGGACAGGCTAATGATCCAGGGACTTGGATAAACCTACAAAGTGGGTGGATACAAACTTGATGATGTTTAATACTGATAAATGTAAGGTATTATACCTCGGAGAAAAAAACCTGCAGCATACTTATAGGCTCTGCAGTGCTATGCTTGCTAGCACCACTGCTGAAAGAGACTTGGGGGCCGTGACTGACCACAAGATGAACATGAGCCACCAATGCGATGTTGCAGCTGGTAAAGCAAACCAAACTCTGCATCCAATTCTGGGCTCCGCAATTCAAGAAGGATGTGGAGAAGCTTGAGAGACCCCAGAGGAGAGCCACATGCATGATCAGAGGGCAAGAGAACAGGCCTTATGAAGAGAGTCTGAGAGCCATAGGACTCTTCAGCCTGGAAAAGCGCAGACTCAGGGGGGACCTGGTGGCTGCCTATAAGTACATAAGGGGTGTACATCAGGATCTGGGAGAACGTCTGTTGGAACTGCATGCAAAGTCTGCATGTGTTCCTGCTACAGCTAGCACATGCCCCTGAAGATTTAAATGATGCAGCTAGAATGCCCACTAGAAGAGAGTTTGGGGAAAGGATATGGTAAGCTACCAGAAAATATGAGCGATCAGCACTGTTCCTGGGGCCTTGGGAGAGTTGGGCTTTTGGCCTCTTTTCTTTGAAGGGGTAACAGTCAGAATGTGACAGGAGAAAATGCCTGAGAAATCAGAGAAAAGACAGTACAGCAGCATGCTTTGACTAAGAAAGCTTAAGATTATATGGTTCTGGGTCACTGGGACCCACAACTGCAGCTTGGTGAGTGCTTAATTAGGAGAGCTAACAAGGCTGACACACTAAATAAGGTTCTATGAACTGTTATAAAGAAAGTCAGACTAAATCAGCGTTATCCAATTTCTAAGTGGTTGGGGGGCCACAGGCCCCTAGGACCACATATCTGGCCTCCCTCTCCTCCCCCCCACTTCATCACATGTCTCGGCACAACCCCCCCACACTATACTGCACCCCTACACTGCTGCATCACATGCCCCAGTGCTTCCCTGCTGCACCACATACCTGAGCATTCCCTCCCTGCGGCACCACATGCCACCCTGCTGTGTGGCCCACCTCACCCTCAGCTCCCCGGCTTTGGGGTCCCTCACTGCACTGTGTTGAGTGGCATTCCAGCCACAAGCTACCCTGACACTGCAGGTTGTACCACACTGTACCACTCAACCCCCTGGGGCAAGGGTAGGAAAGGGAAGCCAGAAGGACAGAAGGCCCTGAGACCCAAGTTGTTGCTGCAGTCAGATCAATGTGGGGGAGCAGCAACTGAGCAGGAGCCCAAAGGCTGTAATTTACCCCCTCATGGGCCACATGATGCCCACAGGCCACAAGTCCTGGACTACATGATTTCTTCCAACAATATAAAAAAAACAAACCTGAACCAAAAAATTGGGTAAACAAGCATAGCACATAACAGAACCAAAAGACAACTGTACAGAGTTTGCAACAAAATGGAACTTACTCATTACAATGTACTTAGAAAAACTAAGACAAGAAAAAGTAATTATGTACAAATGGTCATTTTAGAGGTTTTAAAAAGAAAGCCAAATAAAAAGATTAAGTGTGGGGACTAGAGCACCTGACGATACACTGATAGAGGTGAGGAAGAACTGAATGACAATTTATGTAGGGTACATTCAGATCCTGAATGGTATGATTCTGAGAATTCTCTCTGAATAGATTTGGAAGCGTCTGGATTTCAAAATATATACCAAGATTTACAGTACACAAAGAAGAAATAGCAGTTCAGTCCTATTAGTCTCTCTCCCTCTAACCACACTTTTGTCTTTTTCCAAGGAATGTTCTTACGAAATATTATTTCATCAAGAAAAATAAAGGCACTAAATACTCCACACAGTAATTAAATTTGTGTGGTATTTAAGATATTTTCTATTTTACTTAGAAAATGTGATAATAAAAGCAAATACCAGGCTGAAGTATATTTCCATTTTAGTATTGCTTAGTACTGAATATTATAAAGATCTAAAATTGTAGCACAGAATCGTCCAATACATAACTGGGGAATTTTCAAAAGCCATTAAGTCATCTTTCTGTCAAGAGTGTACAACTGCTCATAGTTAGGAAATATAGCAGCTTTTATTGTTACTCTCAGGTTAAGGTAATATTTTAGCTGTTAATTATCTTTTACATCCTTTTCCTCAGTATCTTTTAATTCCAAAGAAGGAGCAATTTATAAAGGTTACTCCTGCAGCAGTGCTCATCATTAAATTTACCTGAACTTTAGCATCTCTGTCTTCTGTCCACAACACTTTATATTTCTGGAAGTCCTGCAGTGCTTCACTGGTTGCCTTCCTTACAGAATTTACAGAACTTGAGAGGAGAACAACTAATTTGGAAACATCTTTGTGTTCTGCAACACCTGGATAAAAATTTCTTAGTTTTCTTACAGGACCAGACTCTTCAGCTGCTTCTGTTAAAAAAACCAAACAAATTGATAAATTAAAAAAATCATTAAACGCATTTCAACATTTCCCCCAAAAAATATACGTAATAAAATATACGTAACTTCAATCAATGTCATCAAAACAGCAGCCGTCAGTTTAAGCATACTTACACCATAAAACACTGTCAAGCAAAATATCTGGAAATGCCAACACATGGACTAACTTTATTACAGCTAGTGAAGTTACAACCCTTTTTCCTGCTTCCCATATACCTGTTTCCCATTAACATTTTAGAAGTTTCAGGGACTTTTGGCTATATCTCTTACACAGGGAATGGGGAGAGTAAAGCACCCCCAAAAAGGCAATCTTAGGCACTGAACAGAGAGGAACCTTGAGATAGCCAACAGGAAATACTGAGCATAGGGGTGGTTTTGAAGTGATGTCCTTCTACATACTTAAGGCATTTAACTTAGTCTTGAGTTAGGTGCTTCTATACCCTCGAAATCCAAACTAGACAGAAGGTCAACCTTCTGCATAATAACTTAGGGGTTACAGCGTACACCCAGGGAGTGGGAGAGGTGGGTTATACCTCTAAAAGAATTCAAAACCATCTCTCTTGATTTCCAAGAGAGTGCCCTATGCAGCAGGCCACAGAATAGGTATCCCTCTTGTTGCGATAATCTAGGACACAACGCAAAAATGAATGTAAGAGACAGAGCCAGAAGGGGAATAAACAAGAAGGAGCTGGACTCTCTAGCAGTGATAAGGGCATTCTGTTTGGAGGGGGAAGGCTTTGGTTCCAGTCCCTGATACTAGGGTTGTTTGTTTATTTATCCAGTAACTATGTATAAGCAGTTTTGAGAGCAGGGACCCGAACCCAGAACTATCCCTAACCTGGAGGACTGCTCTCATCACAGACTAGAGTAAGGCTCATGCTTGCTCTTTTCATGGTTACATGATACTTGAATTATTGGCTGCATGGTTGCCTGCTTCAACAGACAGGGTAAAAAGGTACCTTCACTCTCCAACACTGTGCAATAGCCCATATCTATTATTATATGGCTTCTGTTATTCGTACTGAGCCAAATTTAGTCCAATTTAGCCATTTTCCAGAACATACTCGAAGAAATGAGTCAGGCCTTGCTGGGGACTTAGGGCCTTGTTATCCCTTACACTGTGAGCCGCACAAGTGTTGATCAGTTATTGTTAGCTTGGAGTTTGGACCAGTCACATCTTTAGTCTAGAAAAGATTTCTGACTGTCCCCCACTTGCACAGCTGCAACTTGCCACTAGAGGCCTGGAGCGCAAGGAGGTCCCATCCAGCCCTACTTCTCTATGACTCTCTATGCTTCTAAGGCTGAGGCTGGGAGGGCAAGTGCCTAGCTCCCCTGAGCTAGCAGGGAAGGCTGAGGCTGTGCTTGGTGCAGGGTGGGTGGGAACTGATGGAGATAAAAACCAAAGCAACTGAATGAAACTAAATTAGCAGTTGGCCCCTGGAACCATTTTCATGGGGGTGAGGCATGACATCGGCTGCACTAGAGGGGCCTAGAGCACCCAGGCCTGGCAGGATGATTGAGCTGACCCCAGCTCCCCTTGAAGATGGCTGTACCTGCTATCCAGATCCAGAGCTGGTTTGCAGTTCACTAGCAGGCAGCTGTGCCTGCTACAGTGCAGAGGAAGGGAAGGAAGAAGGGAAGAAGGAGCATTGCAATAGCAAAATAGCTGGCCAAGGTATGCCAGATCCCCCACAAACTGGCTTCACTTTGCAGCTGGGAGCAGAGCCTGCCCACAGCCAACTCTGATGTCCACATGGGCAGTAGCAGAACTCTATGCATGTAGCCTGGATCCACCTGCAGCCACTGTATCACGGAGTAGTGGCTTCCCTGGCAGTAGGCTGCCCCCCACCCTGCAGCAGCAATCAACAGCTCTCACTGTGCTGTGTGAGGATTGGGTACAAGGAGCAGGGCCCCAGTGAAACCATGGGGCTGAAGCTTGGGGCTTGCCAGAGCCTAGCTTTGTCTGGGGGCTCTCTGGGGCTAGCTACACTCTTCTCTGCTCCCCATGGCTTGGCAAGGGGTGGGGCACAGTATCCAACAGTGGCCGCTCATCCAGACAGGATCAGCACTGGTGAGGAAAAGTGCCCTGGGCCACCATTCCTGGATCAGGGGGCTGGAAGTTGCAAGAAATAGAAAAGCTGCAGCTCTAGTCCTTGGGCCGCTCCACTAGGCAGTTAGGAGGGTGAGAGCCCAGAGAACAGGAGGGTGGGAAGGGGCCATTACATCCTGGGATACCAGAGGACTTCAACTTGAGCAGCATATTTGTGAGGAGTGGCCACACCTTAAAGGAACAGGAGCTGGGTTGTGCAAATCAGAGACAATTCTGCTCTGGGGTGGCATAACTTTGAGCCACCTAACGAATGGTGCAGACAATCCAATGTGCAGACAATCCTGGGATTAAAATCTTCAGAAGACACCCAAAATTACTGTGTAATAAGACGCCCAAAATTACTGTGTATTCAGAGTCCCTGCACTTTAAGATGGCAATTGGGGTGTTCCAACTAAAAGCTCAATCAAATGCTCTTTAGTTAAAGCACCCCCACTGCCATTTTGCAGCATGGGACACTGAATACATATGACACTGCAGGTGCTTTAATTACAGTGGCTCTAAGAGCCATTCTAATTAAAAAGTACCCTCCCCCCTCCACCCCAGAGCACATATATAGACAACCTTAGGCTAGGGACAAATATTCAAAAAGCCCAAGCCTGAATTGATTCACTCTTTGCAGGTTAGTCTAAGCTACGCAGTTTAAACTGATTAATAACTGGACACACATTCTCTGTTAAACCAGGAAATGCAGGCACATGCCTGCAGTGGCTGAAGCCAGAAGCCGGAGGGAGCTAGAGCATGCCTGCCAGCCACTGCCAAAGGGGACGGAAGAGAGACGCCATCCTGGAGTGGAGAGGGTGTGGCCAGGCACCAGCTAGGGCTAGCACAACACACGGGATGCCAGCTACCAGCCTGGGGGGAAGGGGGGCAGCTGCTGCCAAACTGAGTGCGGATGGGAAAAAAATCCTCTCTCTGAAGCAAGCATGTATTGAACACAACAGTTTGCAAAGCATACAACAGGGAACTACCAAAAATCTTCATCCAAGATAAGATACAACCCAGTAAAACACAGCATATACAACTTAGTCTAACTTAAAATATAAAACTAGAAAGACAAGAATTAGTTTTACTAATCCTGAGAGCAGTGTGTCTCCTTACAGCCAGGCATTCAGAAAGGCTTTGTTTAGGTATGAAGTCTCTGCATTCTTTGGTGAAGCTGTCTGCAACTTTGCTAACACTTCCCACCTGCAGTCTGGTCCTGCAGGTCTTAGCTCTGGGCTCACAGATGCAGGGCTTGGATCTACACAGAGGGGATTAGCTTGCCTCTCTCCCCCTCTCCCGGACACACTGTGTAATTAATCCCCTCCCGAGCCATGGAGACTGCAGCCAAACCCCGGAGGGGGTTCCACGGGAGAGAGGAGACGGAGGGAGGAATTAACTCCATCCCTGCCTGGCTGCAGGCAAGCCATGGAGATGTGGCTGGAGCTGGCAAACAGTACCTGCGGTCCCCAGGGTTTACCGGCATGGAGCGGGAGGGTGGAGAAGAGACAGAGGGAGGAATTTGCCTCAGTGGCCATGGGAGGCCAGCATCTGGCCACACCCTGCCCTTGCTCTGGCTAGAGAATAGAGGGGAGGGGGCAGCCCAGCTCACTGAAGCAGAGAACAGAGCTCAAACTGGTTGATGTGCACTAAATGTCTGTTCTGTTTCAGGTTCAAACCATTTTCTGATCACTTAAACCAGTTTATGTGTAATGTCTGTCCCTAGCATTAGAGTTCAGGCTCTGATCTGGAATACAACATGGCTTGGAGGTAAGAAATCTAGCAAGCCTGACTGCAGGGTTACTAAGTGGGCACAGAAACTAAAGCCTGATATATGCACCCAAGCAGTTTAAGGCAGTGAAGCAGAGTTTCTCTCAATCATTTTTTGTAGCTTGGACACAATTCCACACAAGTCCCATTTAGGCACTTTACTGATTTAAATCTGGGCCTTTGTCTTCATTCTTTTTGGAAGGTGTACCACAGCACAATTTTGGTGCTATGTACAGTATTGTATTTTATATTAAAAATGCTGCAATTATGAAATGAGTATGTTTTAAATATTTATGTAAGCAAACATGCTCTATCAAAAAGTATAGGGTACTTAATCTGCAATACGTATCAAGCATTATTCCACTTAAAGCTCATTTCTAAGCAGACATACAACTACAGCAAACCATGTAGTTTGAGAATCCAAAACTGTAACTTGTCACTTAACAGACAAATTGCATCTCCAATATCTGTATGTGCTAGACTGGCACATAAAGCTTCTCTAAACTATTCAACAATTTTAAAGTGTGATTCCAGTATTTTTCTTGACAGTGCTATTTTTCTCCCATTTTCTTTAAGAATGAGAGATGTTTTCAGTAAGACAACAGTCTATGAACCTCTATATTTTCTCATCCTACTACATATTAATTTGTTTCTTAAATCTGTATAACCCCTGATGATTAAATGCCATAATCCAGCCTATTTTAAAATATTTATATTTCTCCCATCACTTTGGTATATGACCAACTCACAATCTAACAGATCCATTCTTACACCTTCTTTATATGTTAAACAATGTTTTCTTCATTTTATAGATGTAGAAATGAGATTTTAAAAAATTGATTTCTTGAAGATGGGGCAGAAAGCTTGTGGTGGAACAGGTGCCTGAAGTCTTCCAAACAACAGCTAGTGCCATGACCACAGTTGGTACCATTTTTCAGTCAATCACACTGTTAATAACATAAGCTGCTGACAGATGCTCATTTAAAGGCATGATGGGATCTGATCCCTAGTTCCAAAATTGCACATCCTGCCATGTACATATGGCTAATTGTTGGCTGGTTTAGAACTGCACAGGGCTCAAACTAGCCCCTGTGTGGATCCCGGAACCAGCTAAAAGATCAGCTGGTCATCAGCTGTCAGGGAGCACACTGGGGCCAGTTGTAGACCCCAGTGCAGACCTAACCCCACCACACATTCAATTTAAGGTATTATAGAAACCAGCCAAAATATATTACACAAAAAAAGTGTTTAATTATTTTTGGCTGGTTTCCCTTTCTGTGATACCATTAATTGCTTGGGTATGTGGCCAGGTAATTATTTAAGATGCAATTAGCCAACTAATCATGTGTCTTACATGCAGTGTCTACAAAGGGCCATAGCACTGCAACAAGTTCATTTTAGGGATATGATTAATAATGAAATCCTTAATTTACAATGTCAGTAACCTGAGACCAATAACACAGAAAACAGAATAGTTACATTTATCTAGTTAAGTGAAGTCTACATAATTGTCTATGCCAGGGCTCAGTAGCTTACAGCCTACAGACCAAAACCATCCCATAGATTTTCTTCAACTCACCAAGCATGCCAAAACGTCCTGAGTCCCGGATGGGCATCACCTTGCTTCTGCTGCAGGACAGGAAGTCCCCATGCCTGCCCCCACCTGAAGCTGACTCCCCTGTCCATGGACCCTGCCAGGCCTAATGAGTCCCCTCACCTTAGAGGTCCTCAAGCCCCACTAGCCCAGCAAAGCTGCTACACCTCTAACACCAGCACTGTGTAAACCCAATTTAGAATTGGGACATCATAACCCATGCAGATTACTGCATGCTAGCAGCTGTAGTTTAGCCTGCCTTAGGATTGAGCTGTGTTAATTCAGCCTGTTCATAGTGAAAGGTTTTTGATGCCTGGTCTATCCAATCTACTTATTATAAATGACATTCTGTAGCAGGCCTGTGCAAGTGGCTAGTATTTGTTTCAGATTTGGATTCAGCCAACTTGGGGGACAGCGATTCGATTCAGTGATACAAATCACTATCCTGAATCAATTCAGCCGAATCTGATTCAGAGATTTGGCCACCACCGAATCACCCAAATCTCCAAACTGAATAGGCCCCATCCCCCGCCTGCTCTCCCAGCCCTGTCAATGGCTGCCCCACCTGGCCCCAGTGTCCTGGCACTTAAAAAAAAAAAAATCCCCACACTCACCGGCTCCTCTCAGGCACTGGGAGGGGTGGGGGTGGCAATCCCTGCTGCTCCCCCCTACCCCATGCTACGTTTGGGGGGGGGGTACTTACCTGGCTGGACTCATTTGAGTCCCGTTTTTGTTTTTAGGGTGGGTGGTTTTTTTTGTGTTTTTTTTTTTTTTTTTTTTTGTTTTTTTTTTTTTTTGTTTGTTTGTTTGTTTTTTTAAAGTGTCAGGACACTGGGGCCAGGCCATGCATGTGGTTGGGAGAGCAGGCAGAAGTTGGGGGTGCTCAGAGGACTGCCCGAATCTCCAAATCGCTGAATCTTCTCTGAATCAATTCGGAGGCTTCAAATCAATTTGGACCTTTTTACTGGTCTCCCAATTCGATTTGGATTCTAAGATTCGGCTGCCAAATCAGGCCAAATCTCCTTCGAATTGAATCAGCAACCGAAGCTTTGCACAGCCCTATTTCATAGTAAGAAAGTAGGAACAATATATACGGGTAATACTAACAAGGTTATTTTGCTTGGGATTAAAGGGAAGACTCGGGGTCAAATCTGTTTCACTTTTAGGTACCTAAGTGCTACATGCACATCCAAGTATAGCCAGGCAAGTGCCATTTACAAAGGTTTTAGATTCTATTTCCACCTACTCTAGACTGTAGTACACCCTAAACTGCCCACTGGTGACACAATATAGGTGTAGTAGAAAAGAAACTCTCTGATCTTGTCTAACATCTCTCTCAACTATACAGTTTGTCCAATAAAAGGTATCACAATAAAATCCTTGCTGTCATGGCAGGGTCCTACAGGAGGGCCGGAGGGCCATGATCTCCTTAAGGCCCCCTTCCTCCGTGCCAAGTCGGCCCAAGGGCACCCTCTGATTCTCGCCCGCCACGTCTTTGATGTTCCAATATATATTAGGGAGGCTGCCTTACATCTCCTTGGACACGGTTATTTCTGGCCCCCATGAACTCCCGGACTCTCCGTGGGTCCCGCTCTACAATGGGTGCTTCAAGGGCACCCTAGCCTTAGGGGCTATGCGTGGCTCCAACCACCCCTTATACCACGCCCCAAGCCTCGTAGCTGGAATAGACGTTGTTCGGTCTCTCTCTGCCTCCTGCTTTCCACGCCCTTCTCTGTAATGCCGGCCCTCTCCTGGGGCTCTCCGTGGCCACCCTGGGCCTTCTCAGTAAAGCCGCCCCTCTCTGGGGCCTACTGCAATGCTACCCTCTTCTCCGGGGCTCACCACCCTACTGTCCCCTTCTCCGGGACTCACCACGCCCGTACTGGGGCTTCTCAGTAGTGCCCCCTCTCTGGGGCTCACCACGCCCACACTGGGGCTGGGGTCTGTACCCGCCCCGAACACTGTGCCCTCACTAGGGCTGGGGTCCTCACACTACCGTGAGTCCCCTATGAGGCCTCTTCCATCCCCTTATAGCCTCATCCAAACCACCGGTGATAAACAACAACAAAGCAAAATACAAGCCCCTAGGCTATAACTTAACTTAAAGCCGCCTGGCTAAAACCACGTGGCTCAGACATCCTAGAGCTGCCATCCTTTACATGGCTTGAGCTGTACCTGCGGTCAGGCTTCTTCTCGCATCTTCGCTCCAGAAGCTCCTTTCTCTCTGGCTGCTGGCAGCGAACTACTCCGGCCTCAGCTCCTGGGCTTTATATAAGCCAGGCCCTGCCCCTTACAGCTAGCTGACCGCTGGCAGGTGTGGGTCATTTGCTAACTCCAGTTGCCCTGGCAACCACCAGCTGGGCTCCTTATCCCCTGCTAGGGTTCTTTCTCTAGCAGTTTCTCCTCTTTAGGAGCAGGGCACCTCAGTGCTCTGCAACACTTGCCTCCTATATTTTCTGGACCAGCATGCCTACATAACTCTCCCACATTACTATGTAGCACTTAGGTGCACATAAACCTGAAACAAGACTTGGCCCTTAGACTTTCACAATATTTACGGGCAATATTTTCTGATTGCTTCCTAGCTTTCTGTTACTTTCACAAGCATGAAATACCCATTTCTTGTTAATTACAAATGGCTAAAGTAAAATTAACTAGATAAACCATAGGTAGTCCCTTTGGGCCCAAATAAGTATAGTCATAAAATATTCAGATTCTATCACACTGTATTAAAAAATGTTAAAGTTAGCAAAAACCTTACTTTCTTCTTTTTTGCCTGCTTTCCCTCCTATTCCACTGGGTGTTGAAGAGATTTTATGTGCAATACTGCTCAGCATTAAGTGTTGCTGTCCCCACTGTGCAACTCCACGACTTACTTCCAATATTAATTGGATCATACGATTGATGGCTTGCTGTATATCATCCAAACTGGGAACCATTACCTAGACAAAATATTACAAAAGGTGTTTAACTAAACAGAACCTAATTTTGTAAGACTGTTCTTAATCTGCCTAAGGCAGGGGCGGGCAATTATTTCGGGCAGAGGGCCGCTTACCCCGTTTTAGAAGGCTGTCAAGGGCTGCATGGGTAGCCCCACCCCTTGATAGGTGCTCCACCCCTTGACAGGTGCCCTGCTCCCTGTTCACCATCTTGGGACCAATGTCCCAGGGCCAGCACCGGTGGGGCCCAAAGCGGGTGGGGCCCAAAGTGGGTGGGGCCCAGGGCCAGCACTGGTGGGGCCCAAAGCCCAAAGCAGACAGGCTAGTCTGTGGAGCCGGGCTGGGCTGCACCAGCAGGGAGTGGGGAGCTGGCCAGCTCCATAGAGCCCCTGCCAGCTGGGACCCTGTGCTCCTGCCACCCTGCTCTGGGCCCAGGACGCCAGTGTGGGCCCTGTGGGCCCACTGGCCCCCCAGCCCTGCAGTACAGGTGAGGGGCAGCGCACAGCCCTACCCCCCACTCGCCAGCAGGGAAGAAGCTGGTGCTAAACATGGGGAAAAGTGGCCCTTCACCTGCCCCATGGCTGGCACCCCATGTTGCAGGCGCTCACAGCCCATGCGGGGCGGTCTGGAGCAGGCACAGGCAGCCTCACACTGGCCATGGGGTGGGCAAGGGGCCACTTTTCCCCATGTTTAGCACCAGCTTCTTCCCTGCTGGCGAGTGGGGGGTAGGGCTGTGCGCTGCCCCTCACCTGTACTGCAGGGCTGGGGGGCCAGTGGGCCCACAGGGCCCACACTGGCGTCCTGGGCCCAGAGCAGGGTGTGTGTTGTTGGAGCCCACTGGGCTTCCCCTGGGTCCTACTGCCCTTGGTTCCTGTCATTTTTTACAGGAACCAAGGGCAGAGAAATATTAATTTTCTACATTTTTTTTTAGGGGCCTTGCAGGCCAGATGTGGCCCATGGGCCATATTTTGCCCACCCCTGGCCTAAGGGGTGCTGTGTAGTTGCGTCCTCAAGAGAACCAAAAAAAAACCCTTTGATTTAAGAGCACCCCTCTAAAATCACAACTGCCACTGAGTGTGTGGTTTTCTTAGGAAAGGAAATATACTGCACTCACCAGTTGCAAGAGGCAGAATACTCTGTTTTGCACAAAGTGATTAAAGATGTTTCATATACATGTTTTATATGCAAGTGTTCTCTGCAAGTGAGGTCAAAATCTTTTTGGCCAGCATTGTCCATTGGGACCAGACCCATACCCTGTGTCCTTGTCCTTTCCAGAAAAGACAAAGGGCAGAACAGTCCCAGGCACGCTCCACTTCCGTCAATAATACAGAACCAGAGGGAAGAGTGGGCCATAGAATATATGTGGTCAAACCATCTCAAAGAAATGAAGATTACTTACAGTAACTGAATCTCTTCATGAAGCTTTTGTTCACACAAATCACAATGTAGATGGGTGTGCTCTACATGCATGAGCTCAAAATCATTTAGCCAGTAGTATTTTGGGGACTACACATACACCCTGCATTACCAATGGCACAAAAAGCAGAGCAGCTCAAGTGCTATAGCTCCTTTACTTGTAGGAAACACCCAGGTAAAAGACTATGAGAATAAGGGTCTACTGTGTAATCCATGCGGACAAAAGTATATGAAATAAATCCAGTTACTGTTAAGAAAGTAACTTCCCTCCAAGTACTTGTCCATCCCAATGTGGATGACTACTACTTAGCTCTCAAAGACGTGTGCGACAAGCATCCCATCTAAGTAAGATCTGTAGGACAGCACTAACAAACTGGGCATATGTGACCAAGAAGCTGCCATAGAGTAATGATTAGTAAATGCATTAACAGAATTGTAAGCAGCTGCCCTACAAAAATTTCAGAAATGAAATCCCTGAAACAAGGTACAGATGTTACCTAAACTATAGTAGAGTATGCCCTAACCCAAAATGGAACGGTGAGTTTGTTCAATACATAACCAAACTTAACACAATCTTTAAGAACTTTAAGAACTTAGAGGAAAAAATAATTGATATTATATTTATCATCAAAAGCCACAAAATGCTTGTGTGAGGTACGAAGAGGTGTTTTTTTCCTTAGAAAGGTTAAGAAAATCATGCTAAGAACTTTAGGTATATGAAATTTAGCCTCTGCAGAACAGTCACGAAGCTCAGGAAAAGTACTCATAAACACAGTTGATTCATGGGAAAATCCAAAACAACCTATGGTAGACATTTTGGGGATAATCTGAGAGTAAGTCTCTTGTAATGAAGTATAGAGTATAGGATCTTGCCATCAAGGCTGTATTGTGCTCACTGTAAGCCAAAGTGGGTGGCATTTTTAGATAACTGAAATAAAGAACCATGTAACATGGGGATCCATTAAGAACAACAGCACACATTCAAATCCTAAGCAGAAAAAGTCTCATTTATGAATGAAAATATGAAACACCAAAATAGTGACCAAATGTGCTCTAATACAAATGTTTAACAGTCCTAAATACTTAAGTAGTTCAGAATATCTGAAGCAGAAGACCCCAAGAACTGAATGCACCTCAGAATAGAGTGAAAAATGCTATTTAGTTATACACGTAAGTGCTGTAAAGGGCTATGCATTCCTTTCAACTCTGAATGGGGCCTCTCAAACAATCTCAGAGAACTTTTATCAACAGAATTTAACGAGCTCGCCTCTATAATGTCAGATGTAGGGATACTAAATACACGCTAGGTTTGTGTCTATGCTAGATCTATGTCTAGCATATCTATCTATCTTATGCTAGATATGTCTACACGCTAGATTTGTGAAATGATGTCCAGAAGATATGCAGTGAAAGAGATGGACAGATAGAGAGATGCATCCAGTTAAAAAATAAATTAATGTAGGTATCCAAGCTGCAAAAATCACTATCGTCTTTCTGAGGACTCTGAGAATAAACAGAATTTCAGGGAAGATGTATACTAGATCTTCTTCCAACCAAATCAAAAAGCATATTCATCAGACAACCCAGACTTACTCCTCTTCAGGAGAAAAATATGGGACATTTCTTTTTTGTATCTCAAGCAAGAAGGTTTACTGAGGTGATCACTCTTCGTTTCAGGCATATCTAATCTAGAATTAAGCCTTTCAGTTCCCATGTTTGGTGATGGGGCCCTATAGCTGAAATGATTTGCCAAGTTGTGTAGAGCACCTGGCAAATGAACATCTACCAATGTAAAAATACTAGAATTCTTGTTAGAACTTCTATTGGTAAATCCATGCTGTATCTTACTGGCGGAAAAATCAAACTCAACAATCACTGGAGATGATGAAGTTACAGGCCTGCATGTGTAGTTGTGTAAGTAGACGCTGCCATGTACAGACCCGGGGTCTTAGTTG